TACCTGCGTCTGTGCGTCTCTCCAGTAGGCTATTTAATCTATTTTATTAATAGAAGTCACAGGGCAGCATTCTCAAGAAGTTTGTGTCCTCCTGAATGTTTGTACACGTGCGCAGCGTGATCGCCGATCTCACAAACCAAAATAATAGACATGATTTTCTCAGGCCACATGTAAAATCATATGTATTATTATAAAGATTATTAAAATTAATACGTATGGATGACAGTTGATTACAATAATATTTCAGTTTATTTCTATCATTAGAGACAGTTTCCCCTGTGGGACAGATAAAGTTAATATTAGTCGTATATTAATAATAGGCTACTTCATTAACTTTGTTATTTACTATCCCTGGTGTAGTATTATTCAGAAGTAAAAACCAACAATATTTTTTTTCACCATGTTTCCAAAGTCTCTACCCCAGGTCCAAAAGAAATGTACAGAATGTACAAACTGAAAACATTAAATACTTTTGTGATCTATTTCCATTTGTTATTTTCAAAAGAGAAATACTGTCGTGGATGTTTACAGAGCAGAGGTCACCTTTTTTTAATTCCAATGGGAGAGATGGACTTCTGTTTGTCTTTTGTTTATTATTATTTTGTGCTGTATTGTTGGTTACTGTGTTATTTCTGTTTCAAAAGCCAGCAATAAATAACACTTTAATATCTAAAGAGTGTTCATGTGATTTTATACATTAGTAATGTTGGGAAATGAATAAATGCATAATAATCGTAAAACCGTGATTATTCCTCAGACAATAATCGTACCAACAAAATCTATAATCGTTGCATCCCTAATTACCACCACCTATCTCTCAAACGGACCATTGACACTCCTAATTGAGATTGTAGATAGAGTGTCAATGGTCCATTTGAGAGATAGGTGGCGGTAATGCACTTATAAGTCTGCAATCCGCCGTAAAGCAAGACAACGACGACATTGCGTGAATCAGAGGTTAAAAACGATATAAATACCGTTCAGTTTCTTGCACAGACTGATCGTTTTGTGTCTTTACACATCAATCTATCGTCACGAGCCGCAGGTTTTAATTTGGTTTTGTTTGTGTATGTTTTTTTTTTACTCTCAAAGCCATGATTGCCATTCACCTCCATTATAAGACTGACAGACTGCAACAGTTTGTGTTAAAAATCTCCGTTTGTGTTCTACTGAAGAAACAAAGTCACCTACATCTTGGATGTCCTGGGGGTAAGCAGATAAACATCAAACTTCAGTTTCAAATCAATAGCATTTTCCTCATATTTCATATCTGCATGAATGTGTTGTGAGTTGTGACTTTATATATAAAAAATACAGTATTAACGAAGAACGCAGTGGTTGTGGCACAATCATTTCCACAAATCTTGCTGAATGGCTTCATGACACTGAGTGTATGCAAGCAAGACCGTGTGTTTTGGCCTTTACCTCGTGAAGAGCCGAGCCGAGACAAGGAAGAGCGTCGAAAAGAGGGGTAGCCGAAGTAGCTGATGTCCTCAGAGAACATGGCATCCGCGTCAATGATCACGCTGGGGTGTGCGGAGTGAATGTCCGCGTCTAGCAGTGACATCAAGTCTTCTGTGGAAATTTGAAAGGTATTGTCAGAAAGGTTTGTTAAAATGTCTCAGTCTTGAGCGTCATTACCGTGACCCATCTTCTGCGTCGGTTTACCTCCAGGTAAGTAGGACTCGCTGGCCGTGTCGTCTCCGTCATCTCCATCCTCGTCATCTCTGCTCAGCAGGTTGTTTACAGCCAAGTTCACATCAAGGTTTGTGCGCTGCAGCTCTCGAATGATGACACTCCTGGACTTTCCCTGAAGAACCACCTGGGCCTGGTTGGGGAAGCAAAACCAATCAGCTGCAAAATTACACAGCAGCTCGGCGTCACATCACCCCAAAATCAATGAAATTCATATTAATAATATAGAATTAATTGTATATTATATCATTATTATTTTGTTAATGGCATATTAACAGCCTAATTTTATTACCTGTATTTTATTGAAAACTACCGTTATTAATAAATAAATATAAATGCATGCTAAAAATGTTGAAACAAGGTTTGAAATATAAGTAGAATATTTTACTTTATAATTTAAACTGTCATGTTTCTAAAATTGTATTAATGTGAAAAGCTATATGAATTTTTTTGTAGTATTTATATTTCACACAACACATGACATTTAGCATACATTTATACTTGCTAATAAAACATTTTCAAAAATAATTATATATTGTAGTATTTAGATTTCAAATCTTCACACGACATTTAGCATGCATTTATATTTGTAAAAAATATTTTTCAATACATTTGTTTTATTATATTGTATTTTTATATTATATAATTATATGATTATATTATGTAATATTGTAGTATTTATAGTTCAACCTTTACACACAATATTTTGCATGCATTTGTTAATAAATGCATGCATGCTCTTTTTTTTTTCCTGTGTTTTTTGTTCTGTCACTGTCATTCTGTTACACTGTGGAAGCTTCTGTCACAAAAACAAATTCCTCGTATGTGTAAACATACCTGGCAATAAAGCTCATTCTGATTCTGATAACGTGAATATTTATCAATACAAGCAATAAAATTTGGCTTCATCAAATACATTTTTAGTTGCAGCCCTAGGTGTATTGCTGAATGGCCAAAAAAAATTATTTTTTTTATTTCAGTCTAATTGTATGTCTAAAGCTTCAAATGCTACGAGTTTCTCAATTGAGAATGAAGTTATGTAAAAAGCTGAGTAATATACCCAAACATTACATGTAACTTAATAAGCAGACTAGGGCTGCCGCGATTCGTCGATTCAATTCGACTATTCGATTTTTAAAAACCCTCGACTTCATTTTGCTCGCGTCGACTAACCGGCAAAATACCGGAAGTGGCGCATTTCACGGACGAGAATCCATAAAACACATTATTGGACCGTTTTCCAAGGCCTCATGATATATTAAACCCGCTTAAAAATTATAATTAAGCATAACTGTGAATTCACAAATGCTACGAATTAAATAATTATACGTGATGCAGTTATAGGCGTGTAGGTTACGTACATGCGTCACACAGCGGCTCCGTTCACAGTAAATGCTGTTCCACAGGAACTGTTATCACTTACATGTGTGTGGAGTGGCTCAAACTCCATCTGCGCATGTTGTTGTGAGTTTGGGTTTATTATAACGTTCATCTGGGAACGCAACGTGCGCCATTTCATCAGATTAAATCCATGCAAACTTTATAAAATACATCATTATCTCGCGATTTTAAAATAAAAGCTCAAACCCTCACTCTTGAGTTTACACGTTTTGATGTCCACATTCTTTTAATTACAGTGGCTATAGCATTTCCGTCCTAAAGAAATGGCCAAATATTAAAGATTAAGTGGACATTTGAAAATAAATGGTGCTTGATAAATATGAAAAAAGTATTAGATCGCACAGTAATGTGTAAAAACA